CCCCAGGATATTTGGCAATTTCTGCAGACTTTTTTGGTTGTCACAACTGGGAGAGGGGGTGCTACTGGCATCCGGTAGGTAGGGGTAAGGAATGCTGCTAAACATCCTACAATGCACAAGACAGTTCCCCATCCCCACTTCCAACAAAGAATTATCCAGCTCAGGTTGAGAAACCCTGCACTAAACTTTAGTATTAGAGATCAGGATGTTGGTTACCCTTGAGGGGTTAGTGGCTAGAAGAGAACACAGAAGAAAACACAGGGGGATACTTCTGGATGCTGGTTACATAGGTGAGTTTATTTGTTTATTTAAATATGTCTTTATTGATTTCAGAGAGAGGAAGGGAGAGGGGGAGAGAGAGAGGTCAATGATGAGAAAGTTATTGATCTGCTGCCTCCTGCACGCCCCCTACTGGAAAGTGAGCCCACAACCCAGACATGTGCTCTCACTGGGAATTAAACTGTGATCTCCTGGATCCTAGGTCAATGCGCAACTGCTGAGCCACACAGGCCAGGCTGGGTGAGTTTATTATGCAAAAATTCACTAGTCTCTGCACTTATTATCCATATGCTTTTCTGCATGTATAATTTTAACATATAGCGACTACATGTTTTTGAAACTCCTGTCAAGAGGTGAGGGGTGAGGAGAGGGGTACTCTGTGAATCTTAGAGCTATAACTGCTTAACCAATATAATACGACAGAAGTGACACTGCCAGTTTCCAGACCCATTCCTTAAGAAATTGGCAGTTTATACTTCCTCTCACTTGGACACTCAGTCTTGGAAACTAGCCACCATGCTCTGAGAAAGCCCAAACAACCCATGAAAAGGCCCATGTGGAGAGATCTCAGTCCTGGTTGAACTCCCACCTAACAGCTGGCATCAACGTGCCAGCCATGTGAGTAAAGCATCTTGAAGTTATCATCCAGCCTCTAGTCAAATGACCCCAGCTGACATCAAGTGGAGAAGCGCCAAGCCTTCCCCACTGATCCCTGCCCACAGATTCATGAAGTAAATAAGCAACTGCTGTTAATTTAAGGCACCAAGTTGTCGGAAAGTTTGTTAAGCAATATATATGACTGAAATAATATTAAGTAAATCAAAGTTTTGCTTTAAAAAAGAGTACTATAGCCATAGAACTTGGGGGAAATTCTTGGTTAAATAAAGTTTTAAAGTTTGTCTTACACCAGAATTTTTAAAAAAATCCTCACCCAAGGACATTTTCATTGCTT